CGGGAACATGCACGTGCTACGCTCAAAACATTGAAAGAAGTCATCTGGTTCCCGTACAACCGGTTTTACAAAGGGATGATGGTTTGTGTGAAATATTGAAAGTATAGTAACTGAAACAATCTGAAACATATATACTGAATGTAATGTAGTAAGGGCTTCCACACCCCACTCACAGTTCCGAGACCTGTGCCACCTCTTTCTCGCGAATTCGCCAACCCGCGCCCTCCTCGATAAGACTGCAAACTCCGTGGTGTTCCCCGGCCTGGCACCGTGGGTTAGGGCGTGGACAGTACATCACTGTGGGCACATTTCAGCTATGCATAGACTGGTTTTCTTCTGGAAGAGCGGTACCGTTGCACAGCTATATGGGGGAGTATTGCTAATTTTGGTACCAGAAGAACACAATCATACCATATCATACACAAACACTCCCTGCATGACACTGCTACCTACACCGGCGTGCTTTAAAACGGGTCGATGCAACAATATGTTGCAGTCCCATGGAGTGTCCGGAGTCTTATGAGCCTTGTGGTGGTCTTGAAATCGGCACCCTGGGTGCGCAGTACGTCCACATCACAACGGGACACATGGGATTGTTGAGTGCATTCCCTGGTTTCACTTGTGGACAAAACCAAATCTGTAAAGAACAACATGCCAAAGCCAGGTGCCGGGCCACTGACATTTCCATGTTGCTCAACAGGCTCAACAAAGCTACAGGGAACAAGTCTTGAGGACAGGTCTTCGCTTGGTTCTTCGGCCCAACTAAATTGGCCGGTTCCTTCACCCACCCTTTTCGGTCCCACTCAGCCTTGGTGCGCCCGCGCAATCGAAACCTCCGCCGGTGTGTTTGGTCCGCCATCTCAACAGAACGAACGTTGAACAGTGTGCACGAAAAGCACAAACACGAGCACGTCGAAAATCGAATCGATTTAAGCATCTCAGGGTTTGGGTTTCGGCGCCTTAAAACTGTAGAACCAGATAGGGTCTTCCAGTGCAACATCTGAGGTTGTAGATCAAAATATTGAACTGAGGACGCAGGCGCGCCCAAGTTGCCAACGATATATCGGCGTATTCGGAAACTAAAGCCGCGGATTCGGAAACTAGGCATGGCGCGGATTCGGAAACTATAGGGTTCGGAAACTAGAAGGATCGCGGATTCGGAAACTAGAATGAACGCGGATTCGGAAACTAGAACGGGTCTGAATCGGATAGTTTCTGAATCGGGTCTGTGAAGTACGAATATGTCCGCGCTACATCAAAACAAACATTTCATTAGATCCACCCCCCACCCCCCAGGTTCTGAATCGGCCAGTTTCTGAATCGAGGGAGTTTCTGAATCGGGACACCCTGTAGTTTCTGAATCGGCCAGTTTCTGAATCGGGACACTCAGTCAGAATCGCAAGTCGCATCGTAGTTTAAGGATCGGAGCTAGTTTCTGAATCGTCTTCTGTTCGCAGGATTTGTCCCACTCAATCATCGATCCACTGGGTTGCGAAGTTGCGGGTTTGCTTCATCGACATAATTTCTTTGTTTGTTTATGATTTTGTTAACTCCAGGGATCCTGTCTTGCACGCCAGCTGTGTATATACGAATGAAAAAGTACTGGACCATTGGAGCCGAAAGATTGAAAGGTAGAAGACTGCACGCACAGAACTTCAGCCGTGGCTCATGAAAAACACATGAAACCCTTGAGTGTTGGATATCTATCTTTGCTATACTGGTCGTACTATGCATACAGAGCAGTCTGCAGCCTGCGAATTACCGGTCCAATCAGTTCCCCTGAGCACCCCGGCAACGGCAGGTGCCTTCCCAGCGCTTGGTGGCGCAGCGGCACTTCGTGCAAGAGGTCCCTGAGCCAAACGAACCAGAAATATCGAACAAGAATCCACGAGCGGACCTTTTGCATACCCAATGCCCAATGCGGCCACGCTGCTCTCAGCAAAGCCTGACATTCATTGCTCAGGTTCCCCAGGAGCGGATGAGTTTGAGAAAGCCTCCCACAACAAGCCATCTAGATCTGTACACGAGATGACTTTCCACCTCAAGTTGTTCTTTGTGCGGGGCTTGAAACATAGCACAGTGTGCAAGGTAACAAAACTGGTGCGTGCAAAACTCTGTCTTCCAGCCCTCAGACTTGGTCCTAGTGAGCTTTGGACTTCCCGACTTGCCCACTGGAGTGTTGCCCGGACTCGCAAGACATTCCGCTCTGAACCAACGATTCTATCTCTTCTCTACCCCACCGACCCCCCCCAAAACAAATCATCGTCTACTGAAAATCGGTATCCACTGCACCCTTCAATCAGCAGGAACTGCAAGAACCATTTTTCCAAGCAAAGCGCCGTTGGTCTCTCGACGTGTTGCCCTGTGTCCGGCGGTCCACTGGCACAAGTGCCCATCACAACAGGCTTCAGGAAACAGCAGTATGTGTTTGCCTTTCTTTCACCCCACACTCCAGCTGCATCGCCCAAAAGCCAACCTTGAGTGGTGACATAAGTCAGGTCAACCGTTCGTGAAGCTGGCAGCCGCCTCCACAAGCACCCAATTACCACGAGTTCCATGCCTTTGCCTTGGTCACCTCTCCAGCACGAATGTGCAGCCAACGACATCTTCCGTCCCTCCAAAGGATGACAGATGTGTGATCTGATATCCCTCTTTCTGGTAAGTCTTCACCTTCGCGCTGACCCTTGTCTCCTTGTGTTTGCGCCAAGAGTACTGCTCTGTAAGCACCACCTGCTCCGGCAAGGAGACCTCCGACTCATCCAGCCCGAAGAAGTCGAACTCTTGTGCGAGGGCATCGCGCTCTGCGGGAGTCGCGCACCGCGGACCGCGCCCACTGCGCAAATACTGCAGCACCTGGGCGAAGAGCTGTGGGCAGCGGTCCACAAACACAGGCCCCTCGCCCTCGCAGTCCTTGGACAGAGGTCTTCTGAGCTAACATGGACATCTAGCGAAAAAACTGCCCTCTTCTATATTAAAACATATTAAAACTTATGTAATCAAAATATGTTTTCTCCACATCCACGGTACAAAGGACCTAGTTTTGGGATAGTGTCAACCGCATTGGAACGTCCAATGACTTCCCCCAGGAAAGAAGAACAAGCAATAGTGACCCAACTTGCCAAACCCAGAATCGAGAAGGTTGGCAAAGAACGGGGATTTCTGTAACGTCATGTTCGTGGTGCGAAATGGAGTGCCTCCCACGTCCAGGTCAACGATGCCTTCGTGTCGCGGTCGCTTAGCTTCAGGGCCTTCAGAGTGAGGAGCTGAGCTCATAGCCGCAAACGAAGCTGCTCTACAACAAGGAGCGCTTCTATTTTCTGCTGAAATGTCAGGCTCCTGGGATGAGCCTTTCCGGACAAGACTTCACTATTATGTAGACCCCAATTGTTTGCTTCTATGGAGCTGAATGTGAATGCTGGTAGGGCGGTGAATTCTATAGAGTATCTGACCAAACTCCTATTGGGTAATTCCGAAATCGCGGATGCTTTCTCATCCCATTTTGTTGCTGCCATGATGAACACAGCTTGATTCAGGTTAGTTCTGTGTGGTTCTCTTTGGAGCCTGAACACTGCAGTCCAGTCCGAACCTCGCCTACGGACAGTCCCAGAGACTGAACTGCTTCTTGCTATGATCCTGATGCTCCACAAACCTCTATCACAAACCTCCATGGGACCTCTTCATCATGAATCATTAGTAGATTGATCAGCTTGATATGTCTCACTCTGCTCCCAAAAGCTGTCGCTTCAGTCGCACCAGTCGCACCCCAGCGTCACGGTGGCGCGACGCTTGCGCGACGCCTGCACGGCTCTCATTGCGCCATGGCACCGTCCTGAAGTGCTCGCCACGCTACTTTTGAAGCTGTGCCTCTGAAGCGGTGCCTCCAAAGGTGTCTAAGAGCACGGATGGTCTTCGTGATCCTTTGCTTTTGTGGCACTGGGATATCTGGCAGTCCTTCTACGGATAGACATTTTATGTGGATGGTCTATTCATGTCTATTCTGTTGGTTTTTAGGTGTTCCAAGTAAGCCTCTCTGAGTCTAATGAGCTTAGCATAGCTTAGCTATGCTGGCCTTTCCCATCAGAGGGAGTGTTTTGACTGCATGGGTACTGCATATCATCAATCCTTGAGGAAGTAGTCTATGCCCAAGGTTGAGATGCACCATTGAGTGTCAGGTGTTTTTGATTTCCTCGGAATGGTCTTTGCCAATCGTCATGCAAGCTGCAAATGCACTTGGGCCAAATAAGGTCCTTGGTTGGTCCTTGAGTGTTCTTAGGAACTAGCCGCTTCACAAAGACGAGGAGGGCAAGTCAGTCTTGACAAATTCGTCTTGGGCACATCACCCGGAAACTCTTGAGTCTTTGGAATGCTATACTGTTCTCATACCTGGACTAAGCAGCGAGCAGTGTGAGCTTCGGAGAGAGCTGAAAAGGATCAACACGTAATAACAATTGCACATCAACACTTTTGTGAATACCATATTGTACCATGCAAAACAGCACATCTCGTAAGTCCTTACCTTTCCAAGAACCTATTCCAGTCCGGATCTGTCCGGGATGCCGATTCCAAGTGCATTGGACCGTCACGGAAGACACATCTCACTGCTGGTCTGCTCGTTCAAGAAGACGTTTTCCCTAGGGAACTCCCATCAAACTCAGAGAAAGAAGCCCATCCACCGTCCATTCACCGTTTCGACCGAGACATCTGAGGAAACTTGCCCTGCAAGACCCTGCTACTTGGTAGCCTTTGGTATAAACATGTTGATGTCCTACAAATCCATGCAAATTTACACACAATATGATTCAGTCTTACAAAAGGTAATACGGTAATCAATCATTCTAAAATTATAGATGCATCCAATTAGTACGTAACTATACCTCTTTTTAAAACTATATATATATATATAGATGCATCCAATTATTATACGTAATTATACTCTATATTAAATCGTTTGAACGTTTGAACATGTTTTTTCTATGTTGTTGGTTTGTGTCATTTTATGTCTACTTCGTGAACCTCCTCTTCGGTCTCGGGTCTCCCGCGATGTCTTTTGCGTCTTCCTCACGTAGCCGATGGCAGCGAGTCCAACGCCGCAGCAGTTCCTCCGGGAGCGGCTCCTGAGCGCCCAGCAGCGCCTCCTGGCGCGTGGAGGCAAACGACCAGGAGGTGGGTCTCTTCCAGGACGAACTCAAACACATGTCAATGACAATTCTTGTGAGACCTCATGAGACCTCCTTTGATGTTGAGAATTCATGAGAATTCTGGATCTTCCTGACTCCTGACATTCACTTTGAGGCGGTGTACTTCACTTTGGGGAGGCACGACTCCACGATTGCTGGCGGACCGGCATCGGTCTCCCGGTGTGGTCAGAGGCAAAGCTGGCGGACTAAGTCGCACATGGTGGCCGTGGTTTTTTTGGGGTGGTGGTGGGGTGGAGTGTCTTTTCTGAAACGGGGTCTGTATTGACTTCGGAGACCGAAGGCAGTAAAACAAAGCCAATTGTGCTGAAAGACCAACAGACTTGAGTGGACATCATGCGAACAAAGACTAAAAACACTCATGACTCATGAGAAATTGTCACTCACAAAGTTCATGGTCTAGGGGCTCGAGCCCACCAGCCAAGAAGATCTAAGTTAAAACCACAGTTCCTCAGAACCAAACATGAAAATTCCATTGAAGGCAGCTCATTCTGTTCATTTCTCATCCCAGAAGCACTTTGACCCCTGATTTTCGCACAAACAACGACCTGTAGTAGCGGTTCGAGACACAAAACCTTTGATCCAAAATAACATGATCATTTTACTGGCAACTAGCAAAGTGTCTATAGGTGCTTGGATCCAGCTAGGTGAACTGCATGCTGAAACACCTGGTCGATGTCATTTTTGCGACAGCTTTCCTGAACAAAAACACGATGAATCAAACGATTTGCAGAAACACGCCACAGAACAAACACCCAAAAACTCCACAATTCATGGACCATGGAACACTACTTTCTATGCAAAACCAATGAGTGAAACCAGCCCTGGACTGATTTTGGAGTCAATCTTCTCCAGCCCCTCACACCGGTCACACCGGTCGCGCGTCCGAACCCAACCTCCGTGTCAAACCGCACCAACGGACCCACATCGGTGCCGAGCCGCCAGGCCTCGATGGCTTGGAACTCCGGGGCCAAGAGTTGCCCCAGACGTTCTTCCAACGAGGCGTTCCGGCAGAGCTCCTCAGTCGACCGAGCAGGTCGACCGTGGGTTCCACACCAGGTGGGTGGGTGCCTGGTGCTGGTTTTTGGGAGGATCACACCGGTCACAGGGCAAAATAAACCTTGGAAAAGACATCATCGCCGTATGCCGTATATTTGTTTTAACTAAATGGGTCCAGCCAAAACTGAGTGAACGGGTTCCCAGAAAGTCTTGGGAGTTTGTGGATTTTGGGGATTCCAGTGGTACACCCGTTTGGGAGTAGGCGCCACTACCACAGCTCTGACTACCACAAGGAATGGAACAAAACAAAACACATGGATTCCAATGCCGCAATATGCCGCAATCGAGTTTTATGACCTTGTTAAGTGTTTCTTCTTATATTCTTGATAGACCGGTTCTACCATATTCCCAAGGCCCACGGCAGGAGAGTGTCACTTCAACGAACTGCATCATTTTAGACCCAAAAAACTGGCCCCCATCACCTAAGGCAATTCTGGACATTCTTGGCTGGCCCCATCCAAACTGCGTCTTCAAACCGAGCACATGGAAGTTATGTCCTGAGCACGACTAGAGTCTATCACCAGAGTCACAACATCTGTGAACCATTGAACTGTCTGGGTTTATGCCATACCACAGAATGAGCGCGTCTCAAACACTTAGGTCCCATGCCTGGTTCCTATATGTATATTTTAGTACATACTCCTGTTGAACCAGCATGGTGGAGGAAAAAGTCCAGTTTTTGGAGGAAAGTTGTCTTGATGGGAAGCCCGTTCCACTTCGATGTTACATGTTCTTGGACAATCAAACAACAAACAAACAGCGATTGAGGTTCCACTGACGGCAGTGCTTCAAACCCCAACTGACGGCAGTGGCTCCAAACCCCCAATAGTTTGAACTTCTGGAGAATTGGAGTACATATGGGAGTACCCTCATGTACACTGCTTGCTTGTGTTCACCTACCGCCGCTGTCCTTGCTTGAGGTCCAACGTTTGCGTCAATGATGTGGATGATCCGGGAACCGCACCACAAACGAAATCAAACAATAGTGCCGGTTCGAGCGACACACTGGCATGGGCTAGCTGCTAATTGACATAAGAGAGGGTGCCTAAGTTCGAGAGATTATGCAAAAATAACACAACATAACACAACATGTAAAAAGAAAATTAACACAGTGATTGCCAAGGTCTTCGCTGTCAGCGCGTCTCACAACAGTGATTGCTCTGTCCGAAGCTCTGTCCGATGGCCACTCATCACATTCCTCCGCGCGAAGCGCGTCTCTGCAGGGAAGGGCTTTCGGGCTCCCAGGAACAAGCGCAAGCGCTCGTAGGTGGCCACGGGCTGGGAACGAAGGGAGTGCTGGTGGAAGAGCCTCGGGCATCAGAGCCACTGGCAGGTGCATCCGGGATGGAGGGGGCACGGCGTCTGTTTCAGCGTACTTATACCAAACACAGTCAGAGTGTAACCCACAGCGGAAAAAAATTCAAGACTGCCTGCCTGTTACATTTTCAATATTTCTATGATTACAGCATCAGGGGCATGTCAAGACAATGGTTTACAGGTGATTCCGTATTTTGCCCACTTCTCAAGACAGTTGTCCGGACGCATGTTTCTGGAAGTCCCCCAGATGTCAAGCCAATAGAATCCACTATATTGTTTGGGTCTATCCTAATACTTGGTTGCCAGTGGATGATGATGGTTAGTAAAGGTCTTGTTCAAAAATAGTGATTTTTTCTGACTGTTACAGGTAATAGGGCAGACCCAACTTATTGTCATTATCAAGAGCCTCAAATATGGCATGATGGGGAGCATTGTCTAATCAGGAAGTTTGCCCTGACAGCCCTCTTCATTGATGGTCAATGACACAACCATGCCCGTCATCCTCTGCAAATCACACCACAATTCAAGCACGTTGAAGCTCCTATTCAAAACACCGATAAGACATCACCAAAAAACAAAACCAATCAGATCAAGCGTGGACAAATCAATGAGTTCGATGAACCTATTTGTAAAACCAATCCCCAGGACCAGGTCCGACCCAGAACCTGGTCCTTTACCTCTTTGAATCGTGTATGATATGGTATGATCAACTTCAGTATTTCATGAGGTCAGTTCCTGACCCGTAGGGAAGTTACACGTTCGTGGGTTTGTTTTTTTTGACGTTCGCCGGGGATGCATGACAAACTGGGGTATGCTGCTGGGGTAACCGGGTAACCTCCCCGCAGTGTGAAGACTAAAGTAGCAGCATGTTCAAAGGGTATGCTTTGGGGTATGCTTCGCCTAAGTCGAACATCCCAGCCCTAAACTGGACAAGTTCAAACAAGACACACCCAAATATATCCCCCTGTCCCACCTGACCCTGCATTCAGCGTCCCAGCAGCAACAGTCGATCCTTCAGCAACCGCTGGGCCAGCAGCAGCTGAGGACCGAAGCGGAACTTCGCGCCCAACAGCTGGTGCTGACGGACGGAACGGCGGGTGCCCAAAGCGTTGCCCTCGTTTTTGTTTGACCCCAATAGTGGCGGCTCCTTGTGTTAGGGCCCGATCCTGGTGTGGGATGGTGTGGACCGTTCGAGATGTCGTGTTGGGATGTTATGGGCTTGTCATTTTGTCTGGTTTTTCTTGAAGGTGTGCTTGCATTGTTGAAACCAATGAAGCTATTGAGGGGAGAAAGATTGAAGCTATACAGGCGATTGGTCCACTCTTAAGTCGATGCTTGGCGGGTGGTTGGTTGGCACTTCGGAAAGCATGATAAGAACTGCTCCTGGTCCAAGTTGACTACGCTCCACATCAGAGATCCGTGCATTGGTAAGGAAGATCATCTTCCAGGTCGTGTCATATTCCCCCTTCACTTCGTCTCTACACAGTGTACTTTTTGTGGTCAACAGCTCAGCAAGAGAGAAATCAAGAAATCCTTCAGCCTCAAGTAGGTCAAGATTGCCTCTTTTCAAGAAATCTCTTTGGCAGCTCAGGTATTCTTCCCGTCTTGGCAAATCAAAGGGATGACCCGTGATTTTTCTGGCCATCGGTCACAAGAACACACTCCTACAGGATCAAGGCCTCCTGTGAGCTCCCCACCTCGACTCCTTCCCGCGACTTCCTTCCCCTTCCCGCCCGAGCTTTCCCTCGACCACGGCCTCCGCCAGGGCCACGGTCTTCGTCTCCTCCACGGCCTCGGTGAGACTTCTCCAGCGCTCCGACGCTCCGGACTCGCTCCTGGGCACGGTCGAAGAAAGGCAGCAGGTCGAAGACGCTGCCGTTGGAGAGCCCCATTCTTTGTTTGTTTCTCCTTTAAGGTGTTTAATCCTGAATTCCATGCTTGTTTCCATGGTTGTCCTGTTATCATTTTTGGGGATGCCAAGTTTGGCAAGTTTGCCAATTCAAACGGTCCGAGGTGCTAGGCTGTGATAGAAAAAAGAGTGGATTGATGTGATGAATGGGTGTGCTTGATGTCATTGGAAGGATTTGGGTTTCATGAACAGGGCACCATCCATGAACAGTATGAACCCACCCAATGGTATGATCCAGACTTGGCCTGCTTCGTCTTGGTCGAATCGTCTTGGCAGAGCTATAGGTCATCCCAATGTCCACGGACGAGTTGAAGACATAAAGGAGAGTTGAAGACACTATCATACCAAAAGAGTTGGTTGAAGACACTCTAGTTAGCAGAAAACCACGACTGCCTTCTCTTGACCGGTACAAAAAGGGCCGGGTACGAATCTAAACCACGCACCGAAGTCTCAAGAACCATCGTTCCAGTCGGCCCAATGGCTCGCACACGATGAGGATGGATCGAAGAGACGGCATCCGACTCAGCCCATGGAGCAAGTGACTGTAGGCATAAAGAACGGAGTGCCTGCAGTCAGGGCGTCCGAAGGACTCCAGGAGACGTTGTTGTTTTTTTTTGTTTTTCATTTTTTCTGGCTCAAATCCCAGTGCCACTGGCTGCCGCGTATGCAAGATGTACGCAATTCGCTTGAGATTAAACAAAAAAAACAACAAAACACATGGGCCCCCGTGGGAAGTTGCTCAGGGAAGATGACACTAGCTGCCCAATTACTAATTACAGTAGCATTAGTTCACAATGTTCATAAATATAGACTCAAGCTATCTCAAGCTCACCATTGGCCAGACAGGGACAGGTGCCACGATTGTCTTTTCAACCCCCAGCCTGTAGCCCAGAATGAAGCCTTTTCCCTGCTCTTCAGCGAAACGTTGAACGGCCAAAACATGCTCCTGCCATGGCAACAAGGTGGGGCTCTGCTGCAAAAAACTGTAGATGCCCTCGTGCTGCACGAATCGAATCTCCGGATGTTGATCCAGATTGAAGTGCAACGACCTCAGGAATCGTTCTGCTGGACTCGTGCGGCTGCCGTGCAACGACCAAAAAATCCCCAAGTTGAACAGAGCATCTGGAGGACATCCCTAGGGCTCCAACCATATCCTCAGGTTCGGTGGTTAGACCCCCGTGGCACCCACCCCAACCACCTTCGAAACGGAGGTGGTTGGAGGCCTAGGGGGTAGACATCTACTGGAGATGCTCTGGACTAAACGAGTTCACCAACACATCGGGAAAACACTGCCACTTTTTGTATCACAAAATATGTTTTATCGTTTACTACCGAATTTGTTGGACAATCAGGAGGGACTCTGTCGACTGATACCTCTTATCAACACCCTTCTTGGAACTGACTGATTGCAATATATACCAACCATGTTTTAAGGCAGTAGCCTCAGGGAATTTGTCCCCTTGCAAGAGAATCAATCACTGAACCAATGAATTCCTTAAGCTGGAGACACACGGATTTCTGACTTGAGCAAAGCTTTTCCTGTGCATGTCCCTGTGTTCCTCTCCAACAAATTAATGCAATTCCTATACAGTACCGAACAATTGTTTTTGGCCGGGGGGATCTTTGACTTGACAATTCCTGAGTTGTTTTGAGGGGGATGGTATTTCCTAAATCAAGATCCAGCATCACCCAAAAACAAAGAAAAGGCAGACATGTTCTCTCTCGATCTCTCTCTCTACCTAGAGACGTAGTTCCACAGCGATCAATGCCAATGATTGCAAAGTCGAAGCGAATGTCTTCCCAGGATCCAAGCTCTTTAACCGTCACAAACTCGCTGAGAAATCCTGATTCGAACGGTCCATGCAAACCGCGAGTTGACTTTTTCCATCGGAACCCATCCCCAGTTCCAGCACATGCAAACCACCTGGTTCTCCATTCGAGTCCATGCGATCCTGTACTCACTGATCGCTGTTGCTCATGTTGACTCTTACTGGGGCTTAAAATATCTTACCCCAATGGCTGGCCAAATTCGCCAGACCATTCATAACCATTCATCTATGGAAGAGTTAGGGTCATTTTCATGGGGTTGAATGTAGCTCTTCCAGTCCCGTTTGTCTGGATGTTTGCTCTTCTTAAAGGAGACTCCTCAAAATAAGAAGTTTCCCCTGTTCTAAATTTAAATCGACTAAGCAAGGATCCACAAAAAACATCAAAAAACATCACAAAACACTTCACAGATTTCCTTTAAGCCACGACTCTCAGCTCGCTCTGATTCACCTGCATCCGATGTGCTAAGAGTCGCGGCGTCGTCTCGGCGGCCACGTCTTGTGCTCCGCAGCGCTCGGGAGCGCAAACGCCCAAGGGCCGCAGCCGCAGTGGCAGACCGGATGGCAACCTGCAGCACTTTGGGCAGTGGAACGAGTGAGGCCTTTTGAAGGAGTGGCATGGGGGTAGAGGGTGGAGGGAGTAAAGACTTGAAGAACTCGTACACCAAGTGGTTGCGGTTGAAAGTAATTAGGAAGGCTGGAGATCACAAGAATTGTCATAATTGGATATAATTGGTACATCAGAGTCTGGATGGTTACAAGAACGCACCCAGTAAACGAGCCAAACGAAGGAAGGAAAGTAGACGTGGATCTTTCTGGAGTGCCCTTTCCTCCAAATATCACAAACATAATCATCCCAAAGCTGTGGAGGGCTTTACTCAGATGATCTACAGTATAAACAATATATAATATAATATATGTAATATCGTCTATATATAACATATACATTTGCTTCACGGAAATGTAGAGGCTGTAGAGGATACAAGTTTTGCTGGTCGGACACAGCCTCATTGAGGTTCTGGTCAATGTTTTAGAGGGGGAGAAACACTCCTGATTTGGAAAGAACTTATCTCAAGACAACAAAACAGCATGTGAACAACCCAGGGGGTTGACGATTGCCGATCTGGTGAGTTTATGTGAATTGTTCCTGTTGATTTCCCCTAAGCAAAATAGCTGGAAAGTGTATCCAAGTTCCAAGCAAGGAACTGCAGTTGGACTTCTTCAAGGTGCAACTCCTCGGAAGTTCCACAAGGTTTCATCATGCTGGAATATAAATAATTAATCACTTGTTGAACAATATTGACCGGTGGACCATCACAACCTGGTTTCAATAATGCTGGTTAATTCAGGCGCTTTTCTTCACTCATGTTGACGACCGGGGCAAAACAGGAGGTGAAAATAGGTGAACAAAATGTGATACCTTGTCTACGATTCAGCTGTTGGTAGACAGTCCGAACACCCATGAACAGAAAACAATCAAGCTTACACTCCATCAAAAAGCAAAAAGACTCAATCAAGTCGGATTTTGTGAAGCTCCGGAACGGAATCTCTTTTTGGGGGATAATGTAAAGTCAGGATCAATAAACCTCCCCTATAGTGCATCCGAGGCCAAATTAACTCGTATTTGTATATTGTTGGTGTCTCATTTGCATCTGAATCACTCAACCCAGCTAATCCGAGCCCAGTTTGTACGACGACAACAACAACAACAACTACTACTACTACTGCTACTACTACTACTACTACTACTACTATACAACTACGACTACGACTACTGCTACCACCACTACTACTACCACAATACTACTACTGCTAGTAGCCCTACTCTCCTACTCCCTTCTTAGAAGATTATTCAGGGGAGGTCGACCCCCCGTGGGTGGTACCTCAGACCTTCTGGATCTTGTTGACCTTCCATGTGGGGGTGGCGGTGTATGAATTTGGTGTCGTTCACTTTGACCCACTTCAAAAGCGTTCGCAAAGTCATCCAAAAATTGATTGAAAGGACCAAGAAAGCGAGGATGTGTAGTCGGTGCAGCAGGTGCTAACGTGTAAAGCGAACGCATCCACGTGACCTACCGGATTTCAGGGATGTAAAACGGCCACTGCCAGTCCTATGAGGACAATTCCTGACCTGTAATGAGGAGCATAATTGCAGCATAATAGCAACAACATGTAAAAAACAAATAAAGCATGATGCATGATCCCTTCCAACAGCGCCGAACTTGTCGCTCCCCCTTCACTTGCTCCATTCTCCAGCTGGTGCCAGCCGGTCGCTCTCCGAAACCATCCTTCATGTCTTGCTGCTGCGGCGCCCAAAGACGTCCCTGCAAAGATCGACATCTGCGCTGCTGCTCCTCCAATCGTCCCAAGGCCTCCCAGTCGTCCGACCGGGTCGCATGGCCCGAGGCCCAGCGGAAGGCCTCGAAGTGAGCCTCGGCGGAGCGAAGAGTTGGAAACGAAGATGCAAGTTAGTATGTTTTTCTTTTTTTACATGGGGCAAGGTAGTTGGCATGGTTGGAAGATGTTGGAAGTTGAGATCAACTTATTATAGTATTATAATCTTCTCATGATGTTTCTTTTATATACAAGGACTTCTTCGTTTTCTGCCCTAAAGCGATGCGTCTATGATGTTCCATTCTACCACAGCCACTATATCATGCGTCTGTCTCTCACCCGCCTCGTATTCGAGGACGCAGCTGGTCGCACCACTGGTGGTCGCACCAGCAGCGGCTGCCAGGGCGGCACGTGCCGCGCGTGCCGCGCACGCCAGGCGCCCCGGTGGCATCGGTGATCGCCATAGCGCGAAGAAGGCGGGTCGTGGTGGTGGTGAGTCTTCACGACGCGAAGCGGTGCGGAGGGCGACTGACTGCGGGCGAGCCTGCGACACCATTCTTGAGATGACTCAGCGACTGAGTGTCTTTATTGAGTTTTGAGACTTCAGGAGCAAGCTAGTCTAACTATTGTTTTGTATTGTTGCTTGGTCGATTTGACTGCCTGTGGTTGGTTGGTTTCCGATTTGTTTTGTTGCTTACCATGGTTTGTTGGTGTATAAAGTGGGTTTGGTGGACTTGGCCCCAAAAAGATCCAAAAAGTTATTCTTGAAGCAACCATACCATACTCAACCACATCTTTCGACCAATACCTCCTCTGTACAAGGTGGACCAAGTGGCTTCAAAAATGTTCTCTCCCTCTGATAGGGCTCAATCTCTTCAACTGTTCCTTGCTCCCAACTGTGTTGAGGAGTAACGCAACACACGAAGTGATCGAGATCCGAGAACCAGGACAATGAGCAGGATACTATCTTGAAAAAGCCTAACACCTTCGGCTTGAGGAAATTAGGATTCAAGCTCCATGTTGTGTATCAAAACCAGGATCTAGTTAGTTGTGGATCAAAACGTGGCCCTCTCCGTGGCCCTCTCCGTACAGTCTTCTTCCTGACTCATTGCGTAACTTGTCTCCTGCGCAGCTGCGGCTCGAGCATGGCTAGGGGTCACCGGTTCCGGGCGGTTGACCGAACATGAAGCGAATTGACTACTGGACACGGTCAAGGTCTCCGGGTGCCATGATAGCCAAAATCATCCGAACCTGCCATGCGCAGCTTGAAAGTTCGGCCTTGAGAACCCAACCATTGGATTAGCAGGTGGGTAGTGGTGTTGGGTTGTGGTGAGGAGAGGTTCCTCGACTGCCAAAAACTACAGTACCTGTAGCTCATGTGCTCCCAATGATAAATTCAGTGTGGCCATCCCCTGCGTCTTTGTTTCTCACACCTAAATCCCTTAAACTTTAAACATACTATTAGACACCTCAGTGGTGAAGTTGTAGAATCATTGTAGCTGCCGCGGGCGTGTCGCCGTGCGCATTTTTTCTGGCCGCCGGTTCCACTCAAAGGCCTCGCTGGAAGCTGGGTGAACTCCCAAGAACGGCTGTGAAGTGTTCATCTTTGGTTGAAGGCTCTTGAGAACTCTGGGATCTTCGTCTAAGTAAGATAGTGGTTGCACAAAACATGTTATTTTTGAATAAGCTACTGATTAACCAACCCTTTCTCGATACAACTGTTATCTCATTGATTCTATAGTGTTTGTTTGCTGGTATCTTCGAAGTTGGACTGCACAATGCATCATCTCGTATACCGGCTCGCATTCAGAAATTAATCGCAATCTTACAAGTCTTACATTGATATAATTTGATATATATATATATAATATATTGTATGTAATATTACATACTAGTACTTGTTAATATATAAGCCCACCCCCATACCTGTCCGCCTAGATGGAATTCTCACGTTTACAGCCACATTCATGGCGACCCGACACGACGCGCCTGACCAGCATGGGCCGCTGGGCATACCGTTCGCTGCTCGTATCCCAAACGGCCTTGGGACATGAATGTTTTGAGGGGATTGTTCTCAAAGTCGACTCTTACAGGCCCCAAAATATTCGACCGTGGCCTAGGTATGCCTAGGTGGGGGATGTGTTTGATTGGACCAAACAGAATGGTGCATCGACCTGTTCAGAATGTAGGTGCATGAAGAACGCTGTCCATGCAGAGTTTCATGAACACTATTTTTTAATGGATTGGTGCACACTAGCATATCCAACCTAGACTCTAAGCGTAAACGCCAGTGGACTTACATGTCGAGAGCTTAACACCAAGGCTGGCTCCACTTCAGAAAATCCATTCCACACAGTTCAACTTGCCTTTTTGAAAGAAAACTCCTTGTGAAATCACCTGTGGAAAGAGTCGCAGTGAGTGCCACGTTCCGCCGTCTGCACCGGTCTCCCCCGGTCTCCACCGATCGGCCGCCGGACCCAAAGTGCGGATGAAGCGTCGCCGCTGTCGCTGATCTGCGACGAGATAACACACAGGCAGGGGGCCACAGGCGCCGCCACTCCGAAAAGATGTAAGTCACATGATGTTTTGCATCCCCCTTTCCTGGTGCCTTTTGGGTACGATTTGTGCATTTGATGAATGAAATGTGGCTATAACATGAGAAGGTGTGATGTATCAACGTGTGTTGTTGATAGAATGAAACACGGTGTGTTTTATAACATGTCTCAATCCGACATGTGAATGACATTGAATAATCACAGAGTTCTTCATAAAATGAATGTGGCTCGGATCTGACATTGTATATATGTATATTCTGTTCGACAAGAAACCCTTTTTTCTAAAGGTCCAGCAATGTCAAGCACGTACGACTTACTTCTTATAAAATGAGTTTGACCCTGATCCAAGAAGCCCCTGGCTTCCCCCCTTTGACGACCCTCTTCTTTGTAGAATGACCATTGCAGAAACCTTGATTTATGCACTCCAGATGGGGAGCACATTTTGTGTTTAGAGAATGACATGAGTTGGGCCATGTTTAAAGTGAAACACATGTTAATTTTATAAGCAAACAAGTGTGAATATGTTTAAGGGAGACTTCGGGATATGGACCATATCTCAAGGCAGGGACATGCATGGGGGTTCGCGCAGTGAGGGGGGGTCTGTTCCAAATTCAAACAATTGGCAAAGAGAAGATTGGCTAGCAAATCTGATAAATCTGTCAGACTTGGGATCCAAGCTCAGAACAAGGTGGAAAGATTATCAATATCCATCAAAACACGCGTTGTTTATCCTGCAGATATCAATAATGTTCAAGAATGCTCCGATTTCATGTGTTACATCTGGGAATGTCGATTCCGGGCTGCACAAGACTTCCTTTCGCCAAGGGCTGCGGGAATCACCCGCAAGCCAAATGAAGCTAGACCATCAATGTTTTTTTGATGTGAACACAAAGGGGCACGAATGAAACGAAGTTGCTCAGAGGAACATGGAAGCCGCACTTCTTGCGCTTGCTTCTTGCATCTTCTTGCTCTTCTTGGGCCACACATGATGGATCTATGATATATCATATATCTATGATATCTATGTGCCCATGGAACTGTTCCAATCGACGTGTCAGAGTCCCAGAGACTGGCAGCCACTTCTCTTTCTGGGCCTTTTAGGACACACATCAGGGCCTAGAGGTGTGAGACCAGCACCCTGACCCCTCCTGCTAGGAGGGTCTGTCCTCTCCAGCTAGGAGCGTCATGGCCGTCATGGGCCTTGCGGAAGTTCTTGTTCCAGCGTCTGCCGGCCAATGGTCTAGTGGAACAAGGACTCGGCGGCTATACCAAGACCAGGATCAGTGGCTTGCGGGGTCCAAACACCGCAAGCATTTTACAGATCCTCCTCTTCCGCCCTTTTCAGCACCAGTCCTTCCACGGTGGTGCATCTCGACCTGGCCAAGCAAACTTTCGAGCGAAGGAGGTCACGTTTGTTTTCAAGCGAAACATGTTTCATGGGTATCAAGAGGGAAACCTCACTGGCCCCGGCTTCAGGTGGTTTTTTGCACCCTAGTCTTCCATGTTCTTCCCAATGGTCTGGCTGTGGGGGGGTTGGGGAGGTCTGTCTCTCTCAACACCCACTGGATGGGCCGGTCTTGGCCGGTCTTCCGCAGGTTGACACCGACGGGGCGACCACGTCTGGGAGAGGTGAACTTGGTCAGATGGGCTGTCCAAGGCCATCGCTACTAGTACTTAGTAGCAAGGACGCTCTGCTCGGTGGAGGCCATCGTTGGAGATGGTTGGAGGCCATCGCTACTAGAAACACGCAGCTATACTAGTCGTGACAAAGGGCATCGCTACGAACGGCGCGATCAGACGCTACTAGTAGCTCCTGGCCTTACTACCAGGAACCAGAAGCTACTTTAGTAGCAATGTGCCAGATCAGAAACATCATGACACCTCCCAGCTTCTGGAACCCTGGTCGTCTACTACTCGATTACTCATGGATGTCCCACCAAAATTGGTTTGGGAATATGAATTTCTGCCCGTTTCTGATAGCACTAGAACAGGTGTGCATCTTGAAGACTTGGTGACAGGGAGTGTGTTCTTTCTTTTTGATGTGCAGGCAAACATTGTCGGACATTCACCCTCCATTTCACCAGTTCTTTTTCATCCGGACTCCAACGAACTCCAACATCTCCTCTGAACAAACTGACTGGTGCTTAATGCCTGAATGAGAGAATGTAACCTTTTTGGGGATCAAAAAAAGGGTATCTAAGAGATTTTCGTAGGGGCTCCTTCCCAAGCTCCTGGCTCATTATATACGCACCAGTCAAGTGGTCTACGCACCAGTCAAACCTCGACGTAGCATTCCGCCTCGGTCCAGGTAGGCAGTACAGGCGCCTGGATGGAAGCGGCGGAAGCGGAGCGTGCGAGGAGAAAAGGGAGTCGAGAGACGGAGAAGTCGGGACGTCGGAAGGCAAGTCCAAGGGAACAAACCAATTGACCTACGGATCATCCAATGAACATGGAAAATGGAACAAACCAAGTCCGTAAGTGGATTGGTGACCCATTGGAAGATCCAGGTACATGTGGGCGTCTTTGGGGGATCCATGATGGCCAACGCTTGGAGGGTCTGCCACCAACGTTTGGAGTGTCTGGAGTCTTCCTTCCAAACCATCCCAAAAAGCGGCATTTCGACCAGCCGTCCCAGGGTCGCAGCTTCGGCCAAGCCGAATGAATGCCTCAGCGTCTGGTGTCGACCTCCGGGTGGAAAGGATTTGGGGGGGGGCCCGGAGATCAGCACCTTGTATCACCTTGTCAGATCTGGAGCCCCTTGTCGATCCCCCCCTTGTCGAGCCCGTCGTGGACGATGTTCGACCGAAGCTCGGGGCGGCCTTGGTCGGACAAGCGATGGGCGATCTTCCAGTCGTGGAAGCGATGGCTCCAGAACAAGTAGAAGCCTCGGCTGCGCGGAGCTCCGGACGGAGCATGGGACGCTGGTTCGTTGGAAGGAAAAGGAAGCGTAGGACCGGGTGCTTCCACCGGCCCTCCCACTCTGCTACGGACATATCTTAGAGGTTGCTTGATGATCGTGTTGAAAGGGTTCCAATCTGGCTTCTGCTCTTCGGGCGAGTCGCTCACAGTGTCGCAGGCTTTGTCCATCCAACACTGGGAGAACAGGAAAGGAAATCGCATCCACCTCATACTTCCGATGCATCCGGTTGTCTCCAAATTCATGGCTTCGCGGACCCCAAATTCCGTGTATCCCAGATCCACCAACTTGGTTCAGTCTCGATCAGGTCCGGTGGGAACCGACCGGTCCGTCGAAACGGCGACGGACCGAGGCCACGACCAGAGCGATTCACGTACGAGGCAGCCGCCTGGAGCGCATGGTGAACGCCGAGGGGCGAGAGGCGTTCAGTCTTCGTTTGAACGAAGGAAAAGAGGCCAACACATTTGAAGCAAGCAATCAGCAATCAGCAACATGCGTCATAGAGTCATAATCCTTTTCTCCATCCGCCCGCAATCCGTCTGTTCCTGTGAAGTGTCAGGCTCTTGCATCGCCGCTTAACTCCAGAGTAACACTAAGAGCAACTTCACTCCAGAAAACCTCAGGACCTTCCAAGGGTTCACATGTCTGGAGATCCGCTGGATCTCCAAGGGAAGTCCATTGGCAACTAGTGACTCGCTGGATGATCCTGGTGCCTTCCCTACCCGTGTGTCTTGAAGTTGTGCAGCGCTACTGGGCTGCGATCTTCGCATCAAGAATGGCCACGCGACGACAAGCCACGCTGTGATCGAAATGCAGGCCAGCACAATGGTATTCTGCGACCGGACTGCGATCTTTGGCAGCAAGACCCTGCGACCGGATCCCAACTTATCGCAGAAAAATCCACAGATGTTCAAGTACCCGACACGCGGGGCTCGGGCCGGTTGTTTGAAGAAGGACTCACAAGTGGGACCCATCATGCTGTGATCAGCAGTCCAAAGGGTCAAGGAACTGATCTCAGAAACCTTTATAGGCGTTCTCTTATGGAGCGATCCGACCGACCGTTCTCGGCCGCGCACCGGAGGGAATGGGCACAGGAATGCACAGTAGATGCGCCGAGCGAGAACTGCATGGAGGCCAAGTTTCACTTATTGAATCGATGGGCCTGGAAAATGCACATCTCGCACATCTGGGCTGAGGCCATGAGTGATAGCTTGCCCAGACGTTTTTACTCGAAGAAGTATCACTTTCACCAAAAAGCGATGGTTGGACCCGACGGCACTTCACATTCAAAAGTCAAGCCCTGAGTTTGAAGTTTCAGATCTGCCATAGTCCCCTCCAAATAAAATGGCCAAACTATCTCAAGGTGTCACTCACCCACTACTATGGTCTGCGGTCTGTGTATGTCCTCAATGCGTGCTGTGTGCTCCAACACAACTCCGGCTACTAAACTTTGATCACGGGAATCGCACCACGGCATACTTGTGGACTGGAAGCTCCTTTGGGGGGCTTGCTTCAGCGTCAATTGTGCAGGAAGCTGGCCCATATCCAGCGCACTCAAATCATCGACCACACCGAAACGCTGCACACGCACTTTGAAACCGAACGCACTGGAAAAGCGGTTCTCCTTAGCAACGTTGCGAAGAATGGCTTTGAGAAACCAAACGGGTTGAACATGTTTGATTAACATTGATTAACTATAGGACATGATTTCAGATGGCCTCCACAAAGACTCGTCTCGACTATACGTGGTAGATACTTGTCAAAGTAAGAAAAGCGCTGGAAATGCCATCTGGACTTATGAGCTTCTGCCACAATGTCTTCTTAATGGAAAGCACATGATTCATTATTGCTTTTGAGGGGAGCTTACCGCACCACACTTTCAACAAAAATTAATATGTCCAAAAACTGTGGCGACCTGTTTGTTGCGCTTCAGGGGGCCCTGTCGCTTGTGCAGCTTGTGGACAAATTCCTGAACGACCGCTATTTGCTGAATTGGTCATCGCCATCGCACGATTTGGCTGTCTCTCAGAATATATCTTATCTTGCTGTTCTTTTCAAAACAAAGAGAACGTCTTGCATTGCACGTCAAAATGCTTTGGTCGAAAGCTCTTCGAAAATCTGGCATACTGAGCAAACATCACAATTTCTTCTGAAGTTGTTTTATGCTTCCTCTCACACTTGGACAGGCTGAGACATGTCCTTCAGAAGCCTTGCCGCGTTCAGCCGGCCACTTGCCGGATGTGTTTGGTGAAAGACAGCGACACGATGTCCCGCACCTCCTTTTCGACATCGAAGTGAAGACTCGGAAAGACTTCCAGAGTCGAAGACGTGAATCATGGTGAATCGCTACAGCCCGAGGCCCAAAGGACCTCTTGATCACGTGCCTCAACAGTGTGAAACCTGTTGGAGCAACAGTGTGGCGCCTTGTGGGAATCCTCGGCGCATGCTGCGCATGCTAGCGCATGTACTAATCGCAGGTCACCGGCCCGTTCAATGGGGTCATCTTAGTTTGCCTCAAAGTGGTGAATTTGGAGACCTTTTTTGCGAAGCCCCAAACAAGACATCGCCCCGGGAAAGAGACATCGCCGAAGCCCAAAAAAGGACCGTGTGCGATATCGCATTCAAAGTAGATCTCTCCCAGCGTCTCACTGGTCATTCAAAAGCCACACGAGAGTCACCTCGTAGACTGTGGAAGCGACATGGAATCGTGGAAATGCTCAATAAGTGAGCTGTGTTTTCTTTGAAGATCAAGTGCCTATACCCTGCCGGGTTGCCTATACTGGGGTGTTCTGGAATTTGTGGGGAGGGTGGCTTCGCGAGGCTTCCCGCTCAAAAGCTTCTCGAATTGCTTTCGCGAATCCATTTCTTCAGCCATTCAGTTGAAACCCAAGGACCTCAAGGACTTGACGGTGTCCCTTCACACTGAAATCCAGTTTCAACCTTTCATACACTCTAAGTCAGCCTCCGCAAGTCCTACGCCAGAGGCTTCGCGAGCCTTCGCCACACACAAATGCCTTTGCAAACATTTGGTGAGTGACAGTCTAGTCCACATGTGACATTTTTGATAAGAAAACGCTACTCAAGTCAGAGTTCTGAACAGGAAGGTCTGTGGATTTCGAGCAATCAAAGCCAGTGCAATTCCGGCAATCAATTCACCCGTTGCGAAACATTTAGGACTCTGATGCTCACAGGACTTTCAAGTGCAGGCTGAAGGTCTGTATACCAGGTACCATAAAGGAGCTGCAAGGTGCAATGTCTTTTCCTGCCGGGAACATGCAGCAGCGGTAGTAACACGTTTGAGTTGTTTTGTTTCCATTTGACTTGTTTAGCTTGCGAACGCACTCAGCATTCAACTTAAGGAGCAACTCCCAGTTTGTTTCGCTTCAGACATGAAAAGATGTCCATCGTCACCCAAGACACAACATTGAAGCTGATGTTCGATTGCCCTCACCAAAACCGCATGCCGTCAGAACTGCAACTACAACGCAGTCTGCAAGCCACGACACCTGCATTGGAGATAGCGACAGCTAAAGTGAAGACGTTAGGCTTTGCGCAAGCTAAGATCGGAACGTTGTGGTTGTTTGAAACTACGGCCTGGCTGAAGACATCATTGCAAAGACTTGTCTCAACTAGATGATAGGCACTTCTCAATCAGAACACTCGAGAAAATATCTGCGCTGCACGTTTATCTTGCAAACCTTGACAAAGTGCTCTTGGTCGAAGACTCTCGGAAACTCAGGCATATTGAGCAGGCATGGCAAACATGCGCCAGAGTGAGAGTGCCGCGGTCCTTTCACAAAGCCTGTTGACTACAAGCTTTGGATTGTTCAAGTTGGTTGCATGCCTAGTAGCCCTAGTGCTCTTCAAGCTTCCTGCAGGCTAACCACACCCGTGTTTCTCAAGTCCTTTTACAGGAGATTCGGCAAACACTCAACAAGCAGGATTTGTTTCCCAAATCCATACCTAAATTCCTTTGCCGAACAAGTTTCAACCTAGTTTGCTGACACAAACAAGCCGACGGTCTGTGCAAGAAGCTTTCCAACCTCATGTCACATGTCCCTTCAGAAGTTTCACGATGTTTTGCGCCAGGCTGTGGCTGACTGCCACTGACCAAGCAAACACCCTCAAGCCGAAAGCAGCGTTGCCGCTTCTCAACTGATAAGAAGCAAATGACCATTGAAGCATCGGCATTGGCCACCCATAGATTTCTTGCGAAAAGAAGCTGATCCAAATCCCTGAAGGTTTGAATTTGGGTGGATCAGGGATTTAGAGGGTTTAGAGGGATCATATTTGTGGGGGGGATCAGGATATCATCATCCGAATCTGATCTTTGGGTGGGGTTTAGAGGGTCAAACCACCGTTGGATCCGGACGGGGTCGCAAACGACGGAACTGGCTGTTTCATGGCTTCGACCTTCAGCAGGTCGGGCCCATTGTTTCACGTGGGCTTTCACGGTGAAAGACCGTTTCCAGCTGCGGCGGCGTGCTGCAAGGATCATCTTGTCCTCCCTAAAGCGGCTCAAAACAGTTCACACTCCTAGCAGTGAATAGCAAACATCCGCAACATACTCCTATACTATCTCCTAGTATCCCTAGTATCATGCCATATCCTTTCACTGTGTTGCGGCAGCTTCTGCTACTTTGAAAAGGACGTCCGAACGACTGCAAACTCCAAAACAAGCTCGTTGATGTTGTCAACAACTTGGTCTGAGATCGAATTGGTGATCACGTGCATTTCCGTATGGTCAAACCTGGTGATCTGAGACTCACTGCACCACCTTTCCTGTACCGTAACCAACAACCCTGACGACCTGATTTCTTCACATCATGACAGGTTGGTGTTCCACCCGCACACCTGCAGGCAACCCTTGTTGTCCAATCGCCTGCCCCTCCTCGGTACGTAGCATGCCTGGCCAATTGCTTCAAGGCAAAGACCCCGAAATATTTCGTCCTCCTGGCCATGTTTATAGTCCTTTTACATGAAGCTTTGGAGGAGTCTATCATTGTAGGCCCTCAAGAGTGGCTATAGACCCTACAGTTTGGATGTACCTTTTTGATCCCAAAGAGCGTCTGTTTTCGATACCTTTCTCTAGATTGCTGGAAAGCCAACACCTCAAAACGAGGCGGTTAAAGATGCTAAAGCATGGCCCGAAAGCAAACAACACACAAGGCTGGTGGTCCCCAAACTGCACGCGTCAGATTCAACGCAACCACCTGCAAGTTCAGCAGCTTAAAGTTTATCATTGTACATCTGAGATCATTCTTCAAAGTAATCAACCGTCTATAACAGTCTACAAGGGCCTTTGATGTGGGCTTCCTCGCCGCGTGTGATCCAAATTCCGGATTCGGGAAAGCATCGGTTCGCCCTGCTGGCCGTCGAGTGGCGTGTGCGTAAGCACAGGCGGGAGCCGACATCCCGTTTGTGTCCATGAGGGTCAAAACACTGCCCATCATCGCCCACACTCACGATCTGATGTTCAACGGTAAGTGGGAGATGTATATAACTGAGACAACAACACTGTGGACTGGAATGCAAGATGCTTGAAGAGGAAGCGAGGACTTGACCCTTTGTTCGGACGGTCGGGCAAGCAAGTCCGACACGCATGCTGACGCATGCGAACGTGGGAGGGAGACACAGGCTGGACCAAAGTTGGCCAAGAGTTTGACCATCTCAGTCATGAATCTCATTCCCCTTGCCAATCTCCTCCCTCGCGGGCTCTGAACGCGGCAGCTCCGGGTAGACTCCTGCTTGTCAACAATTGGACGTTTCTGTGCTGCTTCAGATCGATCTAACGAAGCTCGATTGTTTGAGAAGACTTCTGTGCAGACTTTTGACGCCTAAGCTGGGCGACAATCTTTGACTCTTTTTCGGGAGAATCTTCTTGTGATCAAAGTCGAATGTCTGACCCCCTCAGTGTCGCTGGACCAAAAGGTCGTGGTCGTGGCCGAACTTTCCGTCTGTTAGGATTTTCGTGGGGTGTCACCAGTGTCTTCACCAGAAATAGGAGTCCTGCAGGTGATCCACTGACTTTCTGGGATGTTGAAATCCATGAAATACCCATGGCATCTCTGCTGTGCGAAGCCGGATCATCCGGATCGCGGGTCCAGAGGGTCAAAGCCAAAAGAGTCCAGTCAGTGAGAAACTATGCAGTGCTAGTGGAGAACGCTGAGAGGTGAGACTCATGTATCGAAGCCCCTGTCCAGCTGCATTTGAAGACTTCTTGGATGCAATGTTTGGGGCATCGGCAATGAGTTGGGCTCTTTCATCCGGGACAACCTACAGGCCCCATGACCTTTCCCGCCACCTTGCCTTCTTGGAAGAGAGCCAGTTTAGCCATGTCTCGCCCAGATCATGTTGGCAACTCCAAAACCCAAACCCAGAAAGTACTGGCGTTGCACCTAGTCGCGACGACTGGGATCACGTGAATTCCGGGAAGTCTAAACATGAACGAGTTACTTCGGTGCGTGTTGCTTCGGTGGGCACAGATCGCACGCATCTCGAGCCGCTCGTCCCATGTCCGGACTTCTGTTATTCTTGATCAAGTCCAGTGAGAGCTCAGGCCATGCGTGTCCGGGCCATGCGTGTCCGGGCCATGCGTGACAACCTGACCTCCAACCTCCACCAACCCCTGAAGTGTGAGCTTTCTGCCACACAGCACCAGTGAGAAGCTTTCGCTTCCAGGTGTCC